ATCAGCAAACACTGTGGAACGAATTAAATAAGAAACAAATGTTTAAAAAAACTTCCAAAATCACCTTAGATAAACAGCAAAAGTCAACAGGCTTTTCAAAATATGGCCAAACAGGCGCTTTTGCATTTCGTTTCGAAACTGAATCATCCGCGATTGTCTTATCTGTCTCACCCCACTCTTCTTGTCAGTCAGCTCGACTCACTCTCCTCACTGGATAAATGAAATCTGATCTGTGATGCGACCGTCGTTCGGCACACTGCATTGAGCAGCCGCGTTCAGTTTTTAATTGTAGTGCCTGTTCTTTTACTGAACTAAATGATTTTTATTACTATAAAAAAATCTAAACGACAGTGGGGGTCGGTGCCGCGGTGGGCAAGTGACGTAACCGGTGTTGCGGCTTAACAACGGTATCACCGTCAGCACCTTCTATCACGGCAAGCCTAATGGAAACCATGACACAGTGTTTAATAGAAAGATCTATTTGATCACATTAATACAGTTGAGGTCAAAAGTTTACATACACCTTGTAGAATCTGCAAAATGTTAATTATTTTACCAAAATAAGAGGTCTCATACAAAATGCATGTTATTTTTTATTTAGTACTGACCTGAATAAGATATTTCACATAAAAGATGTTTACATATAGTCCACAAGAGAAAATAATAGTTGAATTTATAAAAATGACCTCTCTACATACACACTAAATAATACAGAATTTTAATATCGGCTACTTGGTTATCTGCCATAGCATGATAATAATCTGTGGTTTATCGATATTGGTCCGAGTTCTTTGTCTATCCCTACAATGCGACAAGTCAAACAGAATGTGCGTATAGGAAAACAAGCTTTCCTCTGTTTCCAATGCAAAACCTAGGTCTGAATTAGTTGAGAAGATTGTTTTAGCAGCCATTTCTGGCCAAGCATGAGTCAGACAGGGCTGTCATCCAGGCAGCTCTCGTTCACGCCGTAATAAAGGAAAGGAAATGGTGACTAAAGAAAGGTCATCTCTTGCACTGTGTAGACAGAAACGAGCAACTGCACGTTTCAGGAGCGGCTTAATACCGCCTGCAAAAGACTACAACATAAATCTAGCATGCACAGGATAATGGTGCTAGGGGTCATTATTTCCCACCCTCACCTAGTTTTCCATTATTCTTACGATAAACAGCATAGGAAAAGAGCAACTCACATCTCTCACACAATGCGAGGCCTAATAGCAGACAGCTGTTTGTTGTTTTGCATAAAATGGTATTCAATACAGGTGTATAAGAAGAGCCCCTCCATCTTGATCCTTATATAATGCAGTTATTTGTGCTGAAGCAACCTAATTAAATCCCTCTCAAATTAGGTTCCCGCTTGCTTGCATAATGGGTATTTATCCATCACTGCCTGTAATGTTCACGATGATTACCAATGTCCACAAAGCCTCTTCCTCCTCTCATTATGAAAATCTAACAATTCAGCCATTTTATTCATTACCTCTTTTATGCTCATCTCACAACCATTTTTCCCTCTTTAATCAAAATCTCTTCCATTCACCAGAATCCCATTACGCTCCCATATTTCTTCAGCCTTCCCTAATTAACATCTCGGCACCCAGAGTGGCACCATGCCCTGAACACCTTACGCTTCACAGCAGCTATGACAAGGCCCAGAGTTCCCTTACCTTTAAATTATGAAAGCAGCCATCTGTTTCACAGGGCATATAGTCTCTGCTTTTGAGTCAACTTCTCTGTCTGGTGGCAAAGGTAATAGGTAAAAAGGTAGTTTCCTGTATACAGCAATCTAAAGATGAAGCATTTCAGCGGTTCATATTGCCACAGTTTGAGTGTACTTTAGGATAGTACGTATTAGGGCTGGGCGATATAGCTAAAAAATGTATCAACGATATGTTTCATATCGTTCGGTATCGACAATTATTGACATTTTTTATAACCTTTTTAAAAACAGAGAAATAGAAAAAAATGTTTAAATTTAACCACTGTTGCAGTACACAAGCCACGGTTAAGACAGCTGACTCCACTGTGATTCTCTCTCTCTCTCTCTCTCTCTCTCTCACACGCGCGCGCACACACGCTCACCCACACTCAGCATTTGAACAGTCAATAGCAAAGTACACAGTTCTGGAAGGTGTCCTGTATAACATGAGCTATGGAACATATCAGTTTTAACTTTATTACTTTATTATTACAGATAGGTATTATAATTCACAATCTCCTCATCACAGGCAGTCACAGCACTCAATTCAGCATGTGTTCATGTTTGTGTGTGCTGTCTGCGTCACTCAGAGCATGTGCCTATATCGTGCACTATATCAAACATTTGTTATATCGTTATCGAAGAATATTTATCGATGGTACTTATCGATACCGTTTTATCGCCCAGGCCTAGTACGTATTGTTTCAGGATTCTTTGTAGGGCTGCCACTAACGACTCATTTATTAACGATGTCATTTAATAACGATGTCATTTATTTATTTGATTTGACATCAAGGTGTATGCCGTGCCTGCGCACTGCGCTTTTAAGCTATTTAAAAGCGAAGGAAAGCGAGGAAAAGAGGGTAAAATTCAAACAAACTAAAAACGAACAATTTCTTTACTCCGAATTGCCGCTATTTGAAAGTGAAAGTAAGATGCGCACGCTGCTTTTACAAGCTATTTAAAAGCGAAGGAAAGCGAGGAAAAGAAGGAACGCCCCGCGGTGATACCGGTATTACCGGTGTTGTCACACGTCGATTAACCGGTGGGAAAATTTCCTCACCGTCACAACCCTATCTCATAGTCCAACTGAAATCAAAGTTCAGTATTATAGTGTACGAATGACAACATATCCATGTATTCTAGTCTACTAATAATAAAATTATAATCAAAAAACACTTTTTAAAGGAGTATTTACCAGAAATATTATTTACCAGAATTTATTTAGGAGAAAAATGTAAATGTGCAGTATTTCTGAAAAAAAATTGGAACCATTAAAATGGAATCCAGAAAATAATGGAAAACAGAATTTGGTAAAGATAAAACTGTAAAACTCAATTAATTAGACCGGCTTTTTGATTAATAAAATTTAATTTAACTATTAAAACTCATCAAAAAATAAAAAAAATAAAAAAAAATAAAAAAAAGAGTATAGAAAAATGAAAATGGAAAAAAAAAAACGGATTTCATAGTGCCCTATAATTATAATACATTTTTTTGTGGTAATAAAAATAGATGTAAGTGAACAATAGCCTTTAAAATTACTTAAAATACACATATAATAACAATGAGGCAATAATTAGATCAAATAAAGTATCATAAGCAAGAAATCATATTGTTTTATTGAACAAAATTGTTAAAATAATGTATTATAAACAATAGAGCTAATGTACTATTCTCCTGTGTTTGCGTAGATTTATAAATTATTTACCTTACAAATCTGATGAAATGGCGCATGTTGCGTTCCCAGATGAACGTTATAATAAACCCAAACTCACAACAACATGCAGAGATGGAGTTTGAGACGCTCCACACATGTAAATGTTAACAGTTCCTGTGGAACTACTGTGAATGGAGCCGCTGTGTGACGCACGTACTTAACCTACACGCATGTAAATAATTACAGCGCATACTGTATTAGAACTGCATCGCATATAATTATTTAATTAAATCGTAGCATTTGTGAATTCACAATTATGCTTAATTATGATTTTTAAATGGGTTTAATATATCATGCAGCCATGGAAAACAGACTAAGATCAGACTAGATGTTTTATACATTCTCGTCTGTGAAATGCGCCACTTCCGGTATTTTGCCGGTTAGTCAACGTGAGCAAAATGAAGTCGAGGATTTTAAAAAATCGAATAGTCAATTAAAAAGAACGAATCACGACAGCCCTAATTCTTTGATAAATAGACATTTCAAAAGAATTTTGAATTAAAAAAGTAGCATAAATATACAGTGCTCAACGTAAATAAGTACACCCCCTTTGAAAAGTAACATTTTAAACAATATCTCAATGAACACCAAAACAATTTCCAAAATGTTGACAAGACTAAGTTTTATATAACATCCGTTTAACTTATAACATGAAAGTAAGGTTAATAATATAACTTAGAGAACAACATTTTCAGTTTTACTCAAATTAGGGTGATGAAAAAATGAGTACACCCTACTGAAAGCCTCCAGAGCAAAGCTAAATTTTAGACTACAAATGTCTAATTTAAGAAGAATTCAACCATAGGTGAGTCTAATTATTCATTACACAGGTGTCCAGCAGACAGTTGACTATAAAAGGGTGTTACTTAAAGAAAACCCCTTCCCATTTCATACCGTCGTCAGCAATGGCACCACATGACAGAGAAATGTCACAAGACCTGAGAAAGAAAATAATTTCTTTACACAAGAAAGGTGAAGGCTACAAGAAGATCAGCAAAGCTTTACTTATCAGTCAGAATACTGTAGCAAAAGTGGTACAAAAATGTAAAAAAGATGGAACTGCAACCATCTCACAGAGACGTCCAGATCGTCCACGGAAGTTAACACCTCGACAGGAGCGTCTTCTGATGAGAAGGGTTGAAGAAAATCGGCATGCAAGTTCACTGCAGTTATCTAAAGAAGTAGAAAGCCAAACTGGGGTGACTATTTCCCGTGACACAATACGGCATACACTGCAGAGGAATGGCATGCATGGGTGCCGTCCACGAAAGAAGCCTCTCCTAAAGCCCAGACACAAAAAAGCCCGCCTAGAATTTGCCAGGGCCCATGCTGACAAAGATGAAGACTACTGGGACTCTATACTCTGGAGTGATGAGACCAAGATAAACAAAGAAAAATTATTGGTGCCTACAGTGAAACATGGTGGTGGCAGTGTCCTTATGTGGGGCTGCATGAGTGCTGCTGGTGTCGGGGAGCTGCATTTCATTGATGGCATCATGAATTCACAGATGTACTGCTCTATACTGAAAGAGAAGATGCTACCATCACTCCGTGCCTTTGGTCGTCGTGCACTTTTCCAACATGACAATGATCCTAAACACATCTAAGGCCACTGTTGGATTTCTGAAGAAGAACAGGGTGAAACTGATTCAGTAGCCAAGTATGTCTCCTGATCTGAACCCAATCGAACACCTATGGGGAATTTTGAAGAGACAAGTTGAGCATCACACTCCATCCAGCATCCAGTCTCTAAAAGAGGTCATTCTTGAAGAATGGAAAAAGATAGATGTTGCAAAATGTCACCAACTTGTTCATTCCATGCCTAGAAGACTTGGTGCTGTCATTAAAAATCATGGAGGCCATACAAAGTGTAAAACTGAAAAATGTGTGAAAAATTTGTAATCTAAGTTATATTATTAACCTTACTTTCATGTTATAAGTTAAACAGATGTTATATTAAACTTAGTCTTGTCAACATTTTGGAAATTGTTTTTGTGTTCATTGAGATATTGTTTAAAATGTTACTTTTCAAAGGGGGTGTACTCATTTACGCTGAGCACTGTAAATGGTTAAATCTGAAATTGTAATATGTTGCATCCAATGTTTGTGTGTATGTATTTTTATCCCTATTACAGTATCATGTTGTTAGCTTATGGTTTTGAGTTAGTCACTTATGATCTTGAATTTCAATTAGCATCCTATTAGGTCAAATCCTACGTAGACAGCAGGCAGCTTCTGTTCCAGGCAGTGTTTGGAACTGAACTCATCTCAAATTAATGCCGTTTTTTTCTTCCTCATTAATAGGGTCTTCACAGTGCCAGTATACCAGGAATCCTCTCTCTGGATCTCTGCCCAACAGACACCAACAAAGTCCTCACCGGTACCATTACAACACAGTTACACAAACACAATTTGATCACCAGTCATCAGACTTGTATATTTTGAACATGTCTCCTTTGAGCACTTCTGTTCCGATATAGAGGAGAGGGTTTTATGACTATATACATACATCACTTACTGTCCCCAGTGTTACTGCATGTTGATGGCACTGTGTTGCTGCTGAAGACAGACCCACATATGCACTGGTTCAAAAAGTTTTTTTTAATATGCTCTCCCCAGGTGGTGCTGATAAGAACGTGGTGGTGTTTGACCGTCGAGAGGAGCAGATTGTTGCCACCCTCAAAGGGCACACCAAAAAGGTCTCGTCTGTCATCTACCACCCTGCTCAGGTAGGCCATCGCTCCCGCTCTTCATTCATAAACTCATTTCTGGTTAGTCTTCAGTTCTCACATGTCTCTTCACATGTTCTCTGTCAGTCGGTGGTGTTCTCCGCATCTCCAGACAGCACTATCCGTGTGTGGTCGGTTACCGGGGGCAACTGCGTGCAGGTGATCAGGGCCCACGAGGCCAGTGTTACCGGCCTCTCTCTGCACGCTACCGGAGACTACTTACTGAGCTCTTCTGAGGACCAGGTAACACACAGGCTGATGGTTGAGGAACAGTACACAAGCAACGCAAAAACATCATGCTACTAATTACATTATACTCAATGAATATTTGTTTTTGTGGTTCATAGTTTCACTACTTTTGTGAAAAGAACTTTTCAAAAACCTTTGTTTCTTTGAAGCAGTTTTCTATCTGTCAGAGTGTAATGCATTAAAACGTATGTGTGTTGTAGTACTGGGCCTTCTCGGATATCCAAACTGGACGTGTCCTGACTAAAGTCACCGATGAGACCGCTGGATGTGGTAAGAATTCCTCTCTGTCGGCTAGGGCTAGGCAATTTATCAGATATTAAAGGGATAGTTCACACAAACATTTTGTTGTTTATCTGCTTACCCCCAGGGCATCCAAGACGTAGGTGACTTTGTTTCTTCAGTAGAACACAAACGAAGATTTTTAACTCAAACCGCTGCAGTCTGTCAGTCATATAATGGCAGTCAATGGGCTCCACGGCTTTGAGAGTCAAAAAAACATACACAAACAAAACCAAATTAAACCCTGCGGCTCGTGACGATACATTGAGGTCTTAAGAAGACACGAAACGATCGGTCTGTGCAAGAAACTGAACAGTATTTATATAATTTTTTACCTCTGATCCACCACAATGTCCAACTGTCCTGAGCACGTTCACAACATCCAATGAGTGATGTATACACACGACAGATCGCTTCCACTCATTCGTCTACTATGCCAGAGCACGTACACGCGTCACGTGCCGGTACTCACTCATCTATCTGTCCATCTTCCCATTCTTCGATCCTTGTACCCATCTGCCCATCCATGCATCCAAACCAACAAGACAACACCCACCCATCCAAACAGACAAACAAACAAACACCCACTCATCCATACAAACATGATAAACAACCCAACAGCCACACATCCAAATAAAGACCCACCCATCCAGACAAACAACATCCACTCACCCATCCGAACAAACAAACAATAAACACCCACCCACCCAACCAAACAAAAAAACAACAAACACCCATCCAAATAAACATCCATCCTGTTTCTCAGCCATTCAGAGAGTTAATTTTAGGTCACACTGGTTTAAGTGCTGACAGTTCGGTCCCCATTAAAATAGCTTTCTTACCCCTACAGATCTGAGGACTCCATTTTGGAGGCTGTTGGCCTCTCGGAGAGGTACATGCATGACTCTGTTGTGCTGTGTGATTTAGAGACTCTTGAGTGCCAATTAACCAAAATGGCTTGTCTCTTGCATGGTCTCATTTGCAGTGGAGTTTTGAGCTTGATGACTGGGGGATCGTAATAAAAGTGAAAGCTGTAACTGTGACTCATCTGTTTGTGTAATTAAGGCAGATGGGAATTGGAATTGATATTTCAGACTGATGATGAAAGGGTCCAGCACAGTTTCTGGATGTTGTAACACTGGATAAGGCTTTACATAGGCCAAGTACACGTCTTTCAGGAGTGACAACCGAATTCAAATATTGGAGTAAATCCCCTAATTTATCGTTTTGTGCGTGTATGGAACAGATCTAGGGTTGCAAAGGGGTGGAAAATTTCCGGTAAATTTCCGGAAACTTTCCAAAAATCCCTGGAATATTCAAAAAAATCCTGGAAAGTTTCCAAAATTGCTGGAATATTTCCGAAATTTACTGGAAATTTTCCACCTTTTTGCAACCCTAAACAGAACTCACTCTCGAAACTGCAATGATTGACACTATGACAACCGAATTTAGCTGCAGTTGCCATGAACACACTGTAGCTAAATTAAGGGAGCTTTCACACTTGATTCGATTGCTTGGTCCGAACCCGAGTTCGATTGCTCCCCCCTCCCCCTGCCCCCGCTGGACTGTGTTCACATTATATTATTTGGGTCCGAACCGCATTTCGTTTGCGTCATCAAGCCAGCAGCTGTTTACCCTGTTGCTTAGTAACGATGGCGCAGGAGAAGACGGCAAAATGCGTAGCAAGGCTCTCTTCAATTTTATATTTATGTTTTTGAACCGTTGGTTTTGTTTCCAAAGCTTCAGTACATAACGGCACTTACGTCTGCCAAGCTAAATTTTAGACTACAAATGTCTAATTTAAGAAGAATTCAACCATAGGTGAGTCTAATTATTCATTACACAGGTGTCCAGCAGACCACTGACTATAAAAGGGTGTTACTTAAAGAAAACCCCTTCCCATTTCATACCGTCGTCAGCAATGGCACCACATGACAGAGAAATGTCACAAGACCTGAGAAAGAAAATAATTTCTTTACACAAGAAAGGTGAAGGCTACAAGAAGATCAGCAAAGCTTTACTTATCAGTCAGAATACTGTAGCAAAAGTGGTACAAAAATTTAAAAAAGATGGAACTGCAACCATCTCACAGAGACGTCCAGATCGTCCACGGAAGTTAACACCTCGACAGGAGCGTCTTCTGATGAGAAGGGTTGAAGAAAATCGGCATGCAAGTTCACTGCAGTTATCTAAAGAAGTAGAAAGCCAAACTGGGGTGACTATTTCCCGTGACACAATACGGCATACACTGCAGAGGAATGGCATGCATGGGTGCCGTCCACGAAAGAAGCCTCTCCTAAAGCCCAGACACAAAAAAGCCCGCCTAGAATTTGCCAGGGCCCATGCTGACAAAGATGAAGACTACTGGGACTCTATACTCTGGAGTGATGAGACCAAGATAAATGTTTTTGGAACCGATGGCTTCAAAACTGTATGGCGTCGCAAAGGTGAGGAATACAAAGAAAAATGCATGGTGCCTACAGTGAAACATGGTGGTGGCAGTGTCCTTATGTGGGGCTGCATGAGTGCTGCTGGTGTCGGGGAGCTGCATTTCATTGATGGCATCATGAATTCACAGATGTACTGCTCTATACTGAAAGAGAAGATGCTACCATCACTCCGTGCCCTTGGTCGTCATGCACTTTTCCAACATGACAATGATCCTAAACGCACATCTAAGGCCACTGTTGGATTTTTGAAGAAGAACAGGGTGAAAGTGATTCAGTGGCTAAGTATGTCTCCTGATCTGAACCCAATTGAACACCAATGGGGAATTCTGAAGAGACAAGTTGAGCATCACACTCCATCCAGCATCCAGTCTCTAAAAGAGGTCATTCTTGAAGAATGGAAAAAGATAGATGTTGCAAAATGTCACCAACTTGTTCATTCCATGCCTAGAAGACTTGGTGCTGTCATTAAAAATCATGGAGGCCATACAAAGTGTAAAACTGAAAAATGTGTGAAAAATTTGTAATCTAAGTTATATTATTAACCTTACTTTCATGTTATAAGTTAAACAGATGTTATATTACACTTAGTCTTGTCAACATTTTGGAAATTGTTTTTGTGC